CATTTGATGATTTGATCTGAGTCCTCAGAGGCGGATGAACTTGCGTCCTTGGAGATCCAAGAACTCCGATAACCTTGTATTCTTCTGATTTCTTGTTATTTTATTTTATTTGTTCATTTTATTGGTTCGTTCTCTTCCTTTTTCTTTGTGAATTTCCTAATTCTTTTACTTTCATTCAACCATTTTATACGCACTTGTTGAATAAATTGTATGAATTTTCCTTTAGGGTTTCTTACTTGGCCTTTTCCATGGCATGGTAGGTGTTGAAATCACAATTTCTTTTAGTTTTATGGTGTTGGGTTTGTCTAATTTTGGCATGGATTTGTTAATGCATAAGGAGATTTGGGTTTTTGTTAGTTGCTTCAAATTAACCCTTTGTTTTTGTTATTGCAAGAAAGGAATTAAATGGAGGAGGACAGTGAATTTCGGCGATGGGACGAGCTCATACCTGACGCACTTGGGCTAATATTTAGGAATCTAACCCTTCAAGAGACACTCACTGTAATCCCAAGGGTGTGCAAGTCATGGGGAAGAGCAGTGTATGGACCTTATTGCTGGCAGGAAATAGACATTGCGGAATGGAGCAAATTTCGTCCGCCAGAGACCATTACTCGAATGCAAATGCTGGTCATAAGAAGCTCGGGTTCGCTCAGAAAGCTCTGCGTTGCTGGCCTTCCCAATGACCAGACTTTCTCCTTTATTGCTGATCAGTAAGTAGTACAAACTTACATTATCAATACAGCTCTTAGTTTCCATTTTTCGGATCAATTTTAGTATAGTGACTATATTATATAGTTAAATTGCTTGATTGTATATGTTAGAATTCGTCATCACCACTTCTCTCTCTCTCAGAATTATTTTTTAAGGGTGCGTTTGGGATGCTTGATTTCAGATTTAGGGATTTAGTTAATGCTTATAGTATATGGTTTAATTGCTTGATTGTATAAGAAGAATATGGTTTAATTGCTTAAAGTATATGGTTTAGTATATCACAAATACGTTAATGTTTATTTGTATGAGAATAAAAAGAAGAATACATGGTTTTAAATGATTGATCGTATTAATCTGAATTCATTTTGAACATATCGTCTCGAGTTATTTCAAATAAATGTTATCTACTACGTTTATAGTTTTTTAAAACTAATATTGCCTTACACGCAAATACAAATCCGCTTATAAATCCTTCAATTCCCAAATTCCAAATTAACCCTTTTATTTACTCCATGATGTGGAACACAACGTTGTATTTCCATCTGTTTCCCAGTAGGTGTAGCTTATGCGTGGGGTTGGTGTGAGTGATATGCCACATAAATAGGCATGTGATGGAGTAAAAAATTATGGGGTTGGGAGTAGTTCTTCACCTCAATGTTTGGATACAACTGAAAAGTCCGCAGTTTAGAAGACATGCAGCTTCTAAAGGTGGACTGATGATCAATCTCCTGGTTTTTATATAGGAGCTGATGCACCATTGTGTTTCATATGAGTAGTGAGTGCTGTGTAAAAGTGAGATATAATTTAGTGAGTAACCAACTATTTGAGAAGGCATTCCAAAATGCTTGAGGTCTGATGTAAAATTGAGGGGTCTCCCATGTCTGTATGCTGGTGTGTTGTAGTGTTAACATCAGGCCTTGCTTGCTTGTATGCATTTGTATTATGTGTTTTTTTAGTAACGATGTTTTAGATGTTTCAATGGATGATTATCCATCTTTTGGATTCAGGTTTACTTGCTGATAAATATAATGTAGAAATTTAATGGAAAATGCCTCAAAAGACTAAAAATAAAAATAAAGACATGATGTTGTAGCCATTAGAAAGAATTTTCTTGTCCATTTCAAAGCAAGATGTGACATATTATTCAGTGTTCTATCATGCAAAATCTCTTTTTTGGGAAACTTTGGAATTTGATTCTACAACTAGCTAGGGAAGGACAGTTATCTATGAGTTGATAGCCAATGGAGACCCCTTAAGTCCTCTCTTCGTAGAGGAGATCAGTTGAATATTTAAACAATCTCAAGGATGTCCAAGGGAAACCCCCTCCGCCTCTTATTGAAGCAAATAGAGAATTCGGGTTTCGAATTAGGATTGCTAAATCTTAAATTCAAAGTTAACCATGATCTTCAGTTGCTAAATTATGTAAGAAAAATGTTATGATATTGAAACTTCATGCTTTAAGTTTAGAGCTTGTAAAATTCAGTTTACTTTCCGTGACGTTTGGCTTATAACAGCTTGAAATAGACGGCAAGCCAATATTGATAAAATTAAATCTGGGATGTTAGCTTCATAAGGCTCTTGGCATGGAGGTTCCAGAGATTGCCCTTAGGAATCAGAAGATTAAACCGAGTTGACTTAAGCGTACTTTTCTACCTAGAGGTCAAAATTTAATCATAAACGGGCCGAGATGGATTAGGTAGGTTAGAGCATATATGCTCTGTTTTATAGGATCAAATCAATGATGGTACCCAGTGCTAGACATTCCTGTTTTGTTGCCATTACTTGTCTCTTATGATGGAAACTTGAAAGATTGATAGTTATTCTTGGGAGCTGTCGTTCTAACTCATTTTTATGATTAACTTATCTCAGGTGCCAGTATAAACTGTTTGGCCTATTTCATGTTAAATTATATTATTGGTTGGTTTAAATTGTCAATTTGTTTAATTTATATATTTGTTTGATCATTTTTTTATTTGTTCTTAGCAGTTCTAAACTTAAAGCATGAAGTATTAATATCATAACGTTTCTATAATTTAGCAACTAAAGATTATGGTTAACTTTGAATTTAAGGTTTATCAATCCTAATTTGAAACCCGAATTCTTTATGGCTTCAATAACAGGCATATGGGGTTTCCATTGGATACTTCGAGACTGTTTAAATATTTTACTGATCTCCTATTCAAAGAGAGAATTTAGGATGGACCATAACTTAGATTGTTCCAAGATGATATTCGCAATACGAATACAAATGTCATTATAATAATATAGCTGAAGATCACCACGAAAAACACCTTGTATGCTTAAATGGGAACACCTCATAACCACACCTTGCCTCAAGAACTCTTAAAAGGCCTTCTCGCACACTGCACTACACCTCACTTACATATTACATGCTACAAGTTCATGCATGAAAAAGTGTACTGATAGTTTTTATATAGGTTATTTAGTAGCCAACCTCGAGGTTAATTGTTGAGCAACCTGTCTAATCTACTAAATCAGGAAGTTACAACCATCTAAACTGATCATTGTTAACTTTCCCAGTTGTTGTCTTAATCATGATTTACCTGTTTTTTTTTTGGAATACTCGGTGTAACTTGTTGCAATTTCCTTCAACCTTTGCATGATGTCAGTATATCATTTTAATTTCTTACGTTCTTCAGCATAATATTTGGCTAACTTTCGTATTCTTGTAGTTTAAACTGATAATCTGTTGATGTGTTCATCTTTGTTATATTTTATTTCTTCAGTATATTTTTTAAATGAAAAAATAATAATTCTGGTTGCTAGTGCCAAATCTCTTCGGACACTGCAGCTGCCAAGAAGCGAAATAAGTGATTCCATAGTGGAACAGGTTGCTGCAAGGCTCTCTTCCATAACTTTCTTGGATGTAAGCTACTGCAAAACTATTGGAGGCCCTGCACTTGAGGCATTTGGAAAGCATTGTAGACATCTCAGAAAGTTGCAGAGATGCATGTACGGATGGGAGGTACTTGACAAGGTTTCTCAAGATGACGAGGCCCTTGCAATAGCGGCCACAATGCCAAAACTCAAGCACCTTGAGATACTGTGTCTGCATGTTAGTACAGAAGCTGTGCATCAGATACTCTTGAACTGCCCTGAGCTCCAGTTATTAGATGTGCGAGGGTGCTATAGTGTGAAACTTGATGAAAAGTTTGTCAAGAAATTCTCGGGGCTGAAGCTGGTGGGACCAGGTTCCGACAATGCGGGCTGGGATGATTGTTCAAATTACTCAGTTTCTTCTGGCTACTTAGCATGGGATGTAATGGATGATGATTTTGACGAAGAGATGTTAGATGAGGCTTGGGAAGACGACCTTAGTATGGAGGATGTAGAAATGAGGTTCTATGATGGTTTTTATCTCGATAATGGTGGGTTCGATTGGCCCCTATCTCCATGAATTTTCTTGATGGAGTGTTTTGATGGAGTTTTGGAGGAGGTTAGGGGTTTAACCTGGTGTAAATAATGTTTTTCCTACTAATAATCGGCGTGAAACTTCCATGTGTTTCTGTAACCATGTTGTACTCGGTGTTGTACTATCTTTGTACATCAATGCATGTGAACTATGTGAAGCTTTGTAGGCTTTGTTTTGTCGAATATATGTGTGTTCACATGAATAAATTTGACCGTCATATAATGATTGTATTAAATACTTGTAAGTATTGTAGTCAATACTTTTATTTGTGTTCATTTGGTGGGAAGAGGATACTCTTCGGATTCTAGTTGTGAGGATCCTAGGAATCCCCACCTCCGATCCGTTTATTGTACATCGTGTGTGCTTAGAAATCGTTAAGTACTGTTTGTGTTTAATTTTAAATAAAATAATTTCTGATCATAGAATATATGATAAATAGACATGATGTGAGAATTTGGATGGGATTCAAATCCCATTTTGTTTACCATTTGGGTCATGTTTTCTGCATTCCTCCCACTATCATTTTTCTCACCCTTCATTTCTCTTCTCACATTTTTATGGACATTTCATTTTTTAACATATTTATAAAAACAATTTTCCTCAACTAAGTATTGATAAATGGACATTTCATTTTTTAAAATTAAAGTGGTCAAACTGACAAATAAGCCTATTGTTGCTAGCCCAAAAGCGAATTTGAATCACATTATTACTAGCTCATTGTGAAGCTAAGTCTACTCTTTCTCTTCGTGTACATAATATCGTTTGTTCAAAAAATAAAAATAAAAATTGGTCAAACTGACAAATATCACCTATTATTGAGAGTCGTTGGTAACTTGGTATGAATTTGCTCATTATATTCATCTTGCAAAAAAGATAGAACTTTATTAAAGTTGAATGACAAGGTTTACATCAGTTGCAAGAATATTAAATAAAAAATCTGGGCCAATTTCATCCCAAAGGAACTCGCCACCATGCTTGGTAGCAAACGAAGCCACCTTGTGAGTAGCAAAATTACCTTCCCGCATAGCGAACCCGAACTTAACAAAATCAAAATGCATAGCTAAAGAATCAATATCAAACAGCACTCCTAGTATTGCATCCCGGCCCATTTGTCTATTAATCATACGAATCAATGATTGGGAGCCGGACTCCACCTCCACCTTTGTGCGGCCGCAATTTCTGCAAAACAGCAGTGCTGGCCTTACGGCAGCAGCCTCAGCAACAATGGTCCCACACCCCCAGCTCGCTTGAAGATCCCAGCAAACTCTCTTAACACCCACCCAAAACCACCCACCCTAGTCTTTGAATTCCAAGCACCAATCTGCTCATTATATTTGGATATATTACTTTCTTTTCTTGTTTTTGTTCCAAATGAAGCACAAGTCTCAACTACTTTTGAATTATTCAAACGCAAAACGGTGACAACAATTTCCATATAAGATAGAAGTGGCATCACCGCCGTTTAAGAGAATCTTCCTTGCAATCGATTGTATTGTATGACCACGTGATGAAAGAGAGAGACACAAGGTGATATACCAATTGAGCATTTCCAGGCGATTATCTTTCTAATTTAACAACCTAGAAAAATAGAAAACCCAATCTCTTGCATATAGTACTATTTTCCACCATGTAGCTCAGATTTAGGCACTAAAGATTGCAGCAGATCCGAGTTCCAACGGTAAGCCAGTTTTACGTCAAGTACTCTTTTTTGTTCAAATATCTACAAAGCAGAAAACCGGTTAAGCAAATGTAGTTTCAGTGGAAGGAAACTGAAAAAACGACGAAACAAAGAAGCAAAATTTGCATAACAAAACAGAGGAAAACCTGTAATGCTGACACTGAACCAAAATCCAGACTGGTTTTACAATTTCTTATCTCTGATCTAACAGACTGGATCGATAAAATTCCTCGTCTAGTATTAGAGGTGGTATACTCCATGCTCCGAGTGGATGTGCAGACGCACTCCCTCCTAAGAATTTCAAATTTCACAACGATCAATGAAACCTGACAGAAAACAAACGAGGATGCAGTTTCACATGTGGTAAAATTAGACCGTAGAAAAGCTACCCTCTTTAGTTGCTTCTACACATCTTCTCTGGTAATTCAAGGACAGCTGTGGATCGAGCCGTTTCAGTAAATTGTTGTACTTCTCTTCAGCCTCAACTATATATTTTGCCTGAAGCAGTAAATAATGGTAGGTGTTTGTGAGAGGAAAAAATAAAGACTGCTGTCAGATTTATTTCGAATTTGACAAAACTCCAATTTAAGTAGAAGCTTAACATCATGACAGGAAGATATTAAAGCTAAACGATATAGCAACAACACTGTGCCAAGAACCAACCATATAAAACCTTTCTATCATTCTCTCAGTCTACCGGAATTAAAGCTTATACATCTAAGGCTGCTGCTGTATGTGTAAGAATACCGAAGATTGATTAAAAAACAAGAAGGCTTACTAATAAATGTTAGCCTTGATAAAAGTCATTGGATTTGTAGTTCTCCATTGATATCTCTAAGGATCTGACCCATATCAACTTGACTTGGTTCTGATTTCTCTGGATTTTTTTTAACAATACCGAGTCGGGGTCTTTCCTAACTGTATAGAATAGGGTAAGTCCCTTCATTTGTTTTTTGTGCTCCTTCGGACCTCTTCTTAGATAGATAATCGCAAGGTTACCTAAGTTCCTCTTCTTGTACTCAAAGTGAATCGGCCAAAACGAAGGTCGATAGGTGTCCATGCATAGCTCAGCGCCCAAGAAAAGTTGCAATCATTGACCGAGTTGATTGAACTGAATCCTTTTTTTAGTGTATACTTTTTACTGAGATCAGAGGTACAGATGCATTATGAGAAACCAAGAGCCTCAGCTCAGGTGGTCTGAAGCTGTGGTATTGCTCGGTATGGTTGTTCAATCTCCAATCCCCCCCCCCCCCCCAAAAAAAAAAAAATCCCCCAGCACACACACAAACCAAGAAGAGAAAAATAAAGAAATCGTTTCATTTACGAAATAAAGAAAACAGTGCGAAAATTAAACGCTTGGCAAACTCACCAGCACAGTTGGTGCAGAAGCTCCATACATTTTGACAAACATGCGCAATATATTGAAACTATTTTCTATTACATCCTCCTGCATGAGGAACCAATAAGGACAAATAAAAATGGGAGGGGATAACTATAACCGGAAAAATAAAAGGGGCAGGATACTTAACAGTTATAAACTCTGCAAATTAAAGAGCTCACCTCATAGTCAAACCTGCAACATCATCCTGTCAACTCAATGGCAAATGATACTGATGATGTGCTTGCAGCAAAAAATTTACCAGTAATAATAACATTAGTTGTTCGCTAATAACAGATAAAGGTAGATGTCAAGTAGCAGAGCACTTAGTATTCCTCGAGAGACAGGACATAGAAACACACGTAGGAATATGTTCATGCATAAGTTTGAAGAAGCTTCACAGGTATTTAGCAAATGCAACGTAACACAGATACAGTCTAGGACAAGAAAATATTCCACCTACATGGAGTTACAAATGGAATGGAACTCAAACATTAATCACGCTGTAAGGGGAAATAATGAGCACTTAGACCTATAAGATGTATTAGGACAGTCGACTGAAAAATAAAACAAAAGCATGAAGGGTACTCACAGATCATCAGCTACCTCAACTAGGAATTCTGAGATTGATAAAAATTCCATATGCAGCTCATCAACCTTAATTACAGATTCAAAGGAGAACACAGTTAACCAAACGAAATATGCGTGTTAAACATTGGTGAGGCCAAAAGAATAAGCTACACCAAACAGACAAAATAACAGCAATTAAAGGTTTGGGACCACTTTGGCACAAGAAGTGATGTGTTTGTGTGTGTGTGGTGGTGGCCGTGGTGGGGGTATTTTTACTACCTTTTATTTGATTTTATTATTGATAGATTTGATAAATCTTTGAGAAGCTAAACTGTTGAAAATGAAAAACTGAAAATTTATTCCTTCTTTTCCATTTTGTTCTTTTTACAAAACATCTAATTGAATTGACAAAACATTGTAAAGATATCATGAATTCATCTGTTTATCAAAAGACAAACCAAGTCCTATGATCTTACGCCTCAATACGGGGAAAAACATCCAACAACAACAACAACAACAAAGCCTTTTCCCACTAAGTGGGGTCGGCTATATGAATCCTAGAACGCCATTGCACTCGGTTTTGTGTCATGTCCTCCGTTAGATCCAAGTACTCAAGTCTTTTCTTAGGGTCTCTTCCAAAGTTTTCCTAGGTCTTCCTCTACCCCTTCGACCCTGAACCTCTGTCCCGTAGTCACATTTTCGAATCGGAGCGTCAGTAGGCCTTCTTTGCACATGTCCAAACCACCGGAACCGATTTTCTCTCATATTTCCTTCAATTTTGGCTACTCCTACTTTACCTCGGATATCCTCATTCCCAATCTTATCATTTCTCGTGTGCCCATACATCCCACGAAGCATCCTCATCTCCGCTACACCCATTTTGTGTACGTGTTGATGCTTCACCGCCCAACATTCTGTGCCATACAACATCGCTGGCCTTATTGCCGTCCTATAAAATTTTCCCTTGAGCTTCAGTGGCCTACGACGGTCACACAACAAGCCGGATGCACTCTTACACTTCATCCATCCAGCTTGTATTCTTCTGTTGAGATCTCCATCTAATTCTCCGTTCTCTTGCAAGATAGATCCTAGGTAGCGAAAACGGTCACTTTTTGTGATCTTCGCTAGATTGCTCCGGTCATTAGTGTGGATAAGTATATAAATGGATAGAGATAGGAAAGCAAACACAAGATGTACGTGGTTCACCCAGATTGGCTACGTCCACGGAATAGAGGAGTTCTCATTAATTGTGAAGGGTTTACAAAAGTACATAGGTTCAAGCTCTCCTTTAGTGAGTACAAGTGAATGATTTAGTACAAATGACATTAGGAAATATTGTGGGAGAATGATCTCGTAACCATGAAACTTAAGTACCGGAGTGTGGTATCGTCTTGACTTGCCTTATCTGTCTCATAGGTAGATGTGGCATCTTCTCAAGAAGTACTCTTCCTCCATCCAGGGGTGGTATCTGTAACTGGTGGAGATGCACAAGGTAATGTATCAATTTCACTTGAAGCTTACTTGTAGTTTCAGGCTTGGTCAAACGTGATACAAACCATGTAGTAGGAGTCCCCCAAGTCGCCGAGCTAAGGTATCTGCTGAAAGAGGTGACAGACAAGGTAAGCAATCAGAGCTCCGGCTGATTGTTCACATTCTCCCTATCTTGCAGGCAGCATGAAGGATAAAGAGAAGAAAAATGAGAAGAGATGATATGGGATACTTTTGCTTTTGAAGAAGTAACTTTCCACAGGCTTATTCTTGAACTGGGCTGGAGGGTTTTTTGGTTTCCTCCAGAGGATAAGGCCGACTGAAGAATTTGAGGGTCAAAACAAGTCCATCAAATCTAGAGTACGTTCGACCCTGCTAATATGGGATACTTTTGCTTTTGACATAGTAGTGGATGTATCGGCACGTGTGCTGTTACGCTTGTCTCCACATGCTTCCTTGTATCCTTCTCACTTGCCCTAGCTGTTCCTCAGGCAGATGTGGTATCTTCCCTGGAAGCATAAGATGTTGAAGATGAGTACTCGAGAGCAATGCCAGGTAAGTAATTCCAGGCAGTCAGTTCTTGGCTGGAAGCTTGATTCCAAGTGCTGACTGATTGCTCTCTTTCTCCTTGTCTTGCAGGTAAGAACAAGGCCAAAGGAAAAGACAGGGAAAAAGCATGATATGGGATATTCTTGCTTTTAACCCTGATGATATGAGATATTCTTGCTCTAGTATAGCTTGTTTACAGAGGTATTATCGGGGGGAAAGAAAGCTGAAAATTTCGAAAGGCTTCGTTGGGAGTGCCCTCTCAGATAAGAGGAAGGGTTGAGCATTTTTTGCAGGTCTGCCTGTCCGTTGGGGATGGAGGTCGACATATATAGGAGTCTCCCTAACATCAAGTAATAATGCTATTCCTTTACCCTGCTTGGTCATAGCACGGTAGTGGGAGCTGTCAGCTTCACATGTTTTAACTCTGTCAGAGCACTTTGAAAAAGTGGTCTGTGGTATCTGGAAAGCTGATGTTGCGTGTGAAGATTACAGACAAGCTTTATCCAAGGAGATCCAGCTCTTGAAGTTGGGAAAGTGGTGCCTCTTTGGTTTTCGAAACAAGCAATCCTGTCGGGGATCTGGCTCTCGAGATTCGGAGAACGATGCCTCTTCGATTTTTGAGAAAGCAATCATGCTGGGGGTCTGGCTCTCGAGATTCGGAGAGCGGTGTCTCTTCGATTTTTGAGAAAGTAATCATGTTGAGAGTCTGGCTCTCGAGATTCGGAGGGCGGTGCCTCTTCGATTTTTGGAGCAAGCAATCTTGTTAGGAGTGTTTTCTCGAATGTGAGTAAAGGTTGGGCATGTTTGCTAGTCTACCTTGTCACGAAGCACAGAGGTTGACACACAGGGACTTTCCAATTATCCAGCAGTGGTACTGTTCCTTTACCCTCTCTTTGATTTTTGAGAAAGTAATCATGTTGGGAGTCTGGCTCTCGAGATTCGGAGGGCGGTGCCTCTTCGATTTTGGAGCAAGCAATCTTGTTGGGAGTGTTTTCTCGAATGTGAGTAAAGGTTGGGCATGTTTGCTAGTCTACCTTGCCACGGAGCACAGAGGTTGACACACAGGAACTTTCCAATTATCCAGCAGTGGTACTGTTCCTTTACCCTCTCTTCGATTTTTGAGAAAGTAATCATGTTGAGAGTCTGGCTCTCGAGATTCGGAGGGCGGTGCCTCTTCGATTTTGGAGCAAGCAATCTTGTTGGGAGTGTTTTCTCGAATGTGAGTAAAGGTTGGGCATGTTTGCTAATCTACCTTGCCACGAAGCACAGAGGTTGAGACACCGGGACTTTCCAATTATCCAGCAGTGGTACTGTTCCTTTACCCATGTGGGTAATAATATGGTAGCTAGACCTTCAAAATTTATGTGTCTAAACTTTGGTAGTGTTGTTTCTTTGCTATTCTTTTACCCTTCTTGGTCAGAGCGATGTAGCGGGAGCTGCAAGCTTCACGTGTCTCAACTTTGTCAGAGAACTTTGGCAAAGTTATCTGTGGTACCCATGAGCTACTGTTGCGTGTGGGAAGTGGGTGATTGAACAGTACGATTCATGTGCTTTCTACTTCGCCAGAAATCTTCGACAGAATGCCCATAATTTCCGCAAAGCTGAGTGTGCGTGTGACAGGTGTTGACGAGGCTGGAAAAGTAGGTGCCTCTTCGATTTCTGAGATCGGCCCTCGTGGTCTCTGAGCAGCCCAGCTTTTGAGAAAGCAAGCCTCTTCGATTTCTAAGATCGGCCTTTGTGGTCTTTGAGCAGCCCAGCTTTTGAGAAAGCTAACGCCTCTTCGATTTCTGAGATCGACCCTCGTGGTCTCTGAGCAGCCCAGCTTTTGAGAAAGCAAACGCCTCTTCGATTTCTGAGCAGGCGCCTCTTCGATTTCTGAAGCTTCGTCGAGTGCAGATTTTTATAGGGGCTGACATTAAGTTCCAAAGCACACTTGAATATCCACCAGTAGAAGCTTCATTCTTGCACTTCTAAGATCTTGATTTGTCCGCCGACCTCTTCTCTCTTCAACACCTTTGAAAATGTCTGGCCCCTCCGACCGTCGTTTTGACTTGAACCTTGTTGAAGAGGTAGCCCCGCCTTCTCCAGACAACATATGGCGCCCATCCTTCGTCTCCCCTACTGGTCCTCTTACCGTTGGGGATTCCGTGATGAAGAATGATATGACCGCTGCGGTAGTGGCCAGGAACCTTCTCACTCCCAAAGATAACAGACTACTTTCCAAACGGTCTGATGAGTTTGCTGTTAAGGATTCTCTGGCTCTCAGTGTTCAGTGTGCAGGTTCTGTGTCTAATATGGCCCAACGCCTATTTGCTCGAACCCGCCAAGTTGAATCATTGGCGGCTGAAGTGATGAGTCTCAAACAGGAGATTAGAGGGCTCAAGCATGAGAATAAACAGTTGCACCGGCTCGCACATGACTATGCTACAAACATGAAGAGGAAGCTTGACCAGATGAAGGAATCTGATGGTCAGGTTTTACTTGATCATCAGAGATTTGTGGGTTTGTTCCAAAGGCATTTATTGCCTTCGTCTTCTGGGGCTGAACCGCGTAATGAAGCTCCAAATGATCAACCTCTGATGCCTCCTCCTTCTAGGGTTCTATCCAGTACTGAGGCTCCAAATGATCCCCCTCCGGTGCCTTCTCTTTCTGGGGCTTTACCGACTGCTGAGACTTCTTCTAAGCAACCTTTGTGAAGGCTCCCTCTTGTTTGTTTATTTTGACTCAAGTATATGTACATATTTGTAACTGATCGGGGATATCAATAAATCAGCTTTCCTTCATTTCAACGTATTGTGTTAAATACACCAAGCCTTCTTCGTTAAGTTCTTTGAATTTTCTTTTGTTGAAGCTTTGTGAGTGGAGCATGTAGGTTGAGGTAGTGTTCCCTTAATTTTCCGAGTGAGGAAAACTTCTCGGTTGGAGACTTGTAAAATCCAAGTCACTGAGTGGGATCGGCTATATGAATCTTAGAACGCCATTGTGTTCTGTCATGTGTCATGTCCTCCGTTAGATCCAAATACTCTAAGTCTTTTCTTAGGGTCTCTTCCAAAGTTTTCCTAGGTCTTCCTCTACCCCTTCGGCCCTGAACCTCTGTCCCATAGTCGCATCTTCTAATCGGAGCGTCAGTAGGCCTTCTTTGCACATGTCCAAACCACCGTAACCGATTTTCTCTCATCTTTCCTTCAATTTCGGCTACTCCTACTTTACCTCGGATATCCTCATTCCTAATCTTATCCTTTCTCGTGTGCCCACACATCCAACGAAGCATTCTCATCTCCGCTACACCCATTTTGTGTACGTGTTGATGCTTCACCGCCCAACATTCTGTGCCATACAGCATCGCCGGCCTTATTGCCGTCCTATAAAATTTTTCCTTGAGCTTCAGTGGCATACGGCTGTCACACAACACGCCGGATGCACTCTTCCACTTCATCCATCCAGCTTGTATTCTATGGTTGAGATCTCCATCTAATTCTCCGTTCTTTTGCAAGATAGATCCTAGGTAACGAAAACGGTCGCTCTTTGGTATTTCTTGATCTCCGATCCTCACCCCTAACTCGTTTTGGCCTCCATTTGCACTGAACTTGCACTCCATATATTCTGTCTTTGATCAGCTTAGGCGAAGACCTTTAGATTCCAACACTTCTCTCCAAAGGTTAAGCTTTGCATTTACCCCTTCCTGAGTTTCATCTATCAACACTATATCGTCTGCGAAAAGCATACACCAAGGAATATCATCTTGAATATGTCCTGTTAACTCATCAATTACCAACGCAAAAAGGTAAGGACTTAAGGATGAGCCTTGATGTAATCCTACAGTTATGGGAAAGCTTTCGGTTTGTCCTTCATGAGTTCTTACGGCAGTCTTTGCTCCTTCATACATATCCTGTATAGCTTGGATATATGCTACTCGTACTCCTTTCTTCTCTAAAACCCTCCAAAGAATGTCTCTTGGGACCCTATCATACGCTTTTTCCAAATCTATAAAGACCATGTGTAAATCCTTTTTCCCATCTCTATATCTTTCCATCAATCTTCGTAAGAGATAGATTGCCTCCATGGTTGAGCGCCCTGGCATGAACCCGAATTGGTTGTCCGAAAACCCGTGTCTTTTTGCCTCAATCTATGCTCAATGACTCTCTCCCAGAGCTTCATTGTATGACTCATTAGCTTAATACCCCTATAGTTCATGCAATTTTGTACATCGCCCTTATTCTTGTAGATAGGCACCAAAGTGCTCGTTCGCCACTCATTTGGCATCTTCTTCGTTTTCAAAAATCCTATTGAAAAGGTCAGTGAGCCATGTTATACCTGTCTCTCCCAAAAACTTTCCACACTTCGATTGGTATATCGTCTGGGCCTACTTCCTTTCTATGCTTCATCTTCTTCAAAGCTACAACCACTTCTTCCTTCCGGATTCTACGATAAAAAGAGTAGTTTCTACACTCTTCTGAGTTACTCAACTCCCCTAAAGAAGCACTCCTTTCATGTCCTTCATTGAAAAGATTATGAAAATAACCTTTCCATCTGTCTTTAACCGCGTTCTCTGTAGCAAGAACCTTTCCATCCTCATCCTTGATGCACCTCACTTGGTTTAGGTCCCTTGTCTTCTTTTCCCTTGCTCTAGCTAGTTTTATAGATATCCAACTCTCCTTCTTTGGTATCTAGTCGCTTATACATATCGTCATAAGCCGCTAACTTAGCTTCTCTCACAGCTTTCTTCGCCTCTTGCTTCGCTTTTCTATACCTTTCACCATTTTCATCGGTCCTATCCTTGTATAAGGCTTTACAACATTCCTTCTTAGCCTTCACCTTTGTTTGTACCTCCTCATTCCACCACCAAGATTCCTTTTGGTGTGGGGCAAAGCCCTTGGACTCTCCTAATACCTCTTTTTGCTACTTTTCGGATACAACTAGCCATGGAATCCCACATTTGGTTAGCTTCCCCCTCTCTATCCCACACACACTGGGTGATTACTTTCTCTTTGAAAATGGCTTGTTTTTCTTCTTTTAGATTCCACCATCTAGTCCTTGGGCACTTCCAAGTCTTGTTCTTTTTTCTCACTCTTTTGATATGTACATCCATCACCAACAAGCGATGTTGATTAGCCACGCTCTCTCCTGGTATAACTTTGCAATCCTTACAGGTTATACGATCCCCTTTCCTCATTAGAAGAAAATCTATTTGTGTTTTTGACGACCCACTCTTGTAGGTGATCACATGTTCTTTCTCTCTTCTTAAAGAAGGTGTTTGGCTAAGAAGAGATCATATGCCATTGCAAAATCCAAGATAGCTTCCCCATCCTCGTTTCTCTCCCCAAAAACCATGGCCACCATGAAAACCTCCATAGTTGCCTGTCTCTCCCTGCCCACGTGTCCATTTAAATCTCCTCCTATAAATAACTTCTCCGTATGAGCAATTCCTTGCACCAAGTCTCCAAGGTCTTCCCAAAATTTCTCCTTCGAACTCGTATCCAACCTACTTGAGGTGCGTACGCACTAATCACATTGATAAGTTCTTGTCCTATTACAATCTTGATTGCCATGATTCTATCTCCTACCCTCTTGACATCTACAACATCTTGTGTCAAGGTCTTGTCCACGATGATGCCAACACCGTTTCGCGTTCTATTTGTGCCCGAATACCATAGTTTAAACCCTGAGTTTTCTAGATCCTTTGCCTTACGACCAACCCACTTAGTTTCTTGTAGGCACATAATATTTATCCTTCTCCTCACCATAACTTCTACTACTTCCATAGATTTTCCCGTCAAGGTTCCTATATTCCACGTTCCTAAACGCATTTTGCTCTCTTGAACTCTACCCTTCTGTCCTAGCTTCTTCACCCTTCCCCGTCTAATAGGATCAAAGTACTTCTTTTGTGTGTCCCGTGTAAAGTTGATAGGAGCATATGCTCCCAAACAACTTTGAGTGGAGTCGTTCGAAAAGAAGTTTCTATAGCCCCCTTGCTCATTTAACACTGCATCCGGGTGCCGATGGAGATACAGCGACCCTTGCTCACTTATCACTGTGCTCGGGCCACACAGCGCGCCACTTACGGGTGACGCCCTAGCTTTAGCGCAATTTCGTTCTGGATTCATTTTCATAAGGATTCGACGTAATCATGGAGTGCCGGCTGTCGACTACCTGACGCCCTCCCCCTCCTCCTTTATCCGGGCTTGGGACCGGCAATGTAAGATAAACTTACACGGCGGAGTTCAATACGGGGAAAAACATCCATGCCACAATTTTGTTCAATTTAAGAATGACATACAGTGAAAATATTTATTTATGAACAATTTAGATGTCATCAACGAAATTGACATGGACACACATATACATAAATATGCATACGCTACATGTAAACACAGATATATACAAAGAAAAGCAATCTAAAATCAGTATGAGGTTATTCACTATGAAAATGGATACAAATATACAAGCTACTATACCTCTTCACCCCTAATCTGGTACAGTAAAAGATTCAGCACACGATAATCAAAGGATTTCAGATGAATTGCCTTTACAACATCTTCAACAACTATCTGCATTCCAATTTTTATCATCAGCTTAAAAATGAAACCTTGAACATGCCTATGCTTCACTGCTATATAACTCCTATAAATTGAATGAACCTAAAATGAGTTTCTACAAGTACAAAATTTATAACCAGTAAACCCTCAATACCTCAAATTAAAAGTGAAAATTAAACAAGAGAAGTACAATCTGTAGTTATATCAACTTGGTGACTTTTGCAGTGGCAACAAGATGCAGGAGGTTGGTACTTGAAACAATTGGGTCTTTGTACAGGACAATCCAAGGTTTGGATGTGTCAAGTCAGCTACTTATTAAGCCAATAAACTAAAATAATATAGTTATATTTAACTTCATAAAACTACTGAATCACACACTGTTGAGATAGGTGGCTGAGAATGGAAAAGTTTTGCCGTATTAATTTAGAGTTAGAAAAACATAGATATATTTAAAATTACGTGGTGCTGCATTGCCTTGATTGTCGATGCAAATTAAACGAGACTATATTTTCTCAAAGCAGGTATGTTCATAGGCACAATGGGGTAACTTGAATGTACCCCAAGCAATCAAATCATTTCTCATCTCCCTTGGTTCTCTCTTTCAGTTTCTTCTTATTGCCATATGTTATTTTTGAAACCAAGGAGACCTGTTATACATCATTTTAGAGTAAAAGTCCTATTCTATGTTACTTTGAAATGAGTTACCTGCTAAAATTATCCACCCTAGATTAGTGGTTCAACAACCTTTTGCACTGTCATAACATTATATAACCTACACGTAACAAATGCACAGTTTGTGTTTTTTTACGAGAAATTTCTGCACCAAGTTCTGATAAACATGTTGAAATCAACAAAATTAAAAAAATTAATAACACCAGATAATATCCGTACCTCCATTTTATTCATCAGTGCATAACAAAGCTTTCTTTCCAGCGCCCAATACTCTTCTCCAGATTTAAACTCATCTTGCATCCTGATTCCATTAAACGGAAGTGCAACAAACAAGATAAGTTCAGAGTTCTTTTATCTTCCCCCAAGAAAAGAATAAAATCAGAAAGCACGATGCAGTACCTCTTTGTCAAAAGGCCATGACATTCAAGTGCACATGACAGTGGTCTGAATGGCGCACCCTTAAATGCACTTGCACACCGAGCAATTAGCCACTGACCTTCCTGCATCCCAAAAGATATTTGGTCAAGTAAAAGTTACTTAGCTAAAATAATTTTGTGATTACTTCTCCCAAGTTCTTAGCAGTTAGCACTACCGCCTCAGTTCCTCTTTCTGAAATGGTCAATTCACTGCTTGCTGCATGAAGTGTCTTCTCATTCAAAGCATCAAGCTGTAATAATGAAACCATGATGGTAAGAGAAAGCAACAAAAGGGAAGGAATATAGAAACTCAACAACCAGAGATCAAGTGGTGACAACTCTATTCATCATACCGTTGCATAATGAATAAATCAAGGTTGGAATTTCTTAAAAAAATAAAAATAAAAACAATCACTATTTTCAAAGTAGTCCTTTTTTGTTTCAAAACGTTACGAACAAGAAGAACGTCCGACAAGTTCAATAACAAAACCATTCTGGAAGATGCTTTGATTCATCACTTCCCCTTGTGGGAAAAAACAAGAACAGAACAAAGAGAACCTTTTTCTCGTAAAGAAAAAGGGAAAAAAATAACACGGAATTTCATTGCACAACTGTGATTACTACCTGATAAATGTAACTTTCTGTGAATGAAAGCATAGGTAGATATTGGAATATTGACTGTGGTTTGTTTATATCCATTCCATGGAACATAAAATAAGATCTGCACTGAAAAAAAAAGAGTTCAAGATTACAACACCACCTGACCAAATTATTTTATAGTTGACAATTGACACACATTGATGGTGAATTTTTGCCAGAAGGCATACAATTGTATGTAGGGGGAAAGATAACCGGTAGCATACAACTATACTGCTGCAAAATCTGACTACTGTATCAGCTTTTCAGAGACATAAATAGCAAGATATACATAATGTTCAATTATGGGTTAAGTGATATATCATAAACTTATGAAGGGAGCACACGAAATTATTGCATCCCTTGAAAATTGTATCAATCGACTATTTACCACAGAACATCATACTAAAACTCCTACTTTAAGAAACATTTAATTTTCTTATAAAAAAAAGGTGGTAAATGAGGTTGTTGATCTAAGTTTCTAGATGACTTTACCTTCAAAAACTTAGACAAAATATAAGATATGCATATAATACTATCAGATATACATATAATCTGCATTCTCCATGGGCAACCAAATTGCCCAGTAAAAATTTGATACAGAAAGTAAAAGTTGAAGATTGGGATTGGTAAGCTTGACATGTTAGCTTTACTACTAAGAAATCTGCAATTAGTCATTCCTTCATCCTACAACTCAGTGCTCACTAATTAATATTCATTGCATAAAATATTGCCTAATCCAACACATACATATATAAATACATATAATACATATAATATATATATATATAGATATATAATGTAGGATCTATCTTCAACAACAAAGCCTGCTTACAAAATCTTCAAGGGTAGAATTTGCTCGTTGCATTGCGTCCAGTCCAACCATAGCCATCTCTTCAAAATCAGTGTGCAATGAACTAGACTCCAGCTTATGGCCACAGTCAAACTGCAAAGCATTTTCACAATTTTCTCCATGGCCTGCAAAAATGCAAAAGCATGGATCATACCATATTGTTTTACTTTTTCTTTCTTTTTTTTTTTTTTTTTTTCTTTTTTTGCCAAAAGCTATTGCAATACGTGAAGAAACTTCTATATACTTGTCCCAAACAAAATTAGGCAAATCAGCTCACAGAGAATGAGCATCAAGAAGAAGACTGAAAGGTCATAAGACAACGTAACTTAGGTGCAACCAAAATCAAGAATACAAAGATCACATATTCACACTTAGGATTGCACTCACAATGCTAATACTCAAAACCTCATAAAAATGCAACACAGGGAGAATGGTAATTCTCTCCACGCGTTCCTTTCCCAATTACACCTTTCAGAAACATAAATGTACAAAAAGTGTAAACCCTATCTTGGCAAAACCAAACCAGCACGAAATAATGTTGAGCACGCGCACCTAATGAACCCATTAACCTACTCCAATAATCAGACTATCTTTTAAAGTATCGGATCCTATTAACGCAACGGAAATCAATTAAGTGTCGAATGCACAAAGTACGGGGGTGTTTACCTTCGCCGGTAATGCATTTGGATGCTTCCTCAAGAAATGCAGCAGAAATCTGTGAAACAAGTAAAGTAAGCACACCCTATTTCTGATGATATCCAAAAATTAAACAAAATCAGATAATCATAATACAGTGCTTACCCTTGGCATATATTCTGAAACCAAACTGCACTTTTTCCCCAAATCAAGCTCTCCACATGGTTGTTCCTTTGCCATACCATTTCCAAAAATAAAATAAAATTAATCACAAAATTAATAAAATTTAGTTCCTATGTAAAATTAAGAAAACAATTATATTAAAAACTAAAGGTGAATAATTGAATTTAAAACTTGAAAATTAAAAATGTTGGAAGGAGCAAAAGTTGGAAGAATACTAGGAAGAGGATGAGCTTGGCGAGAAAGGAACTCGAGTCGTCATGCGACGACGTCGTTAGAAGGCCTCGAGATTGTAAAAACGTCAGCATTCTCTGGACATCTTCCAGTTTCCTCAATTCCTCCATCTCTTTCGCACTCAAAGTCTCTCTGCAAGTAGCGGACTGGTATTCTCTGTACTTGCAGTGCTTCGTGAGCCGATACCCGCGCTAGAAGAAGGCTGCTCATACGGCGTCGTAAAGAACTTGCAATGAACAATACAAATAACAAGAGAGCTCAAAGATTAGGGGTGGGTCCCCTCTCTTTAATAATAATACATTTTTAAAATACTAGTTTAGTTTATTAACCAAAAGAAATGAATCGTCTATCTATTTACTATAGTTTAATGCTAAATGTTCTTAGTTTTATTGATTGTTTTTTACTTGCAAAAATGATCCTTACATAGTAATTTATAATATGATTGGTTACTGGTTTCACTTATAAGCACGAAGTTCTGTGACTCAGTCACAGAATTTTGAGTAGGAATTTGTACTAATCCTTGAGTAGTCTAGCATTATCCATAAAAGAAGGGAAAAAAACAAGGAAACAATGTATGATAACTTTGCAGTGCTAAAAGCTATTTCTATATTGTAATGCTAATAACTATTCCCAGCGTAAGCATATTCATATTACTCTTTTTCTGTCTATAAATTTCTTAACGTGGAGAGTGTTGGTGTAGTTTGGCCCGATACTAGCAAAAGGGACGCGGTTGGACAATTTGGGCCATGATATGTCAAGATAAAACAAGGTCAATTGGGCATTGGTCCACTTGAGTATTGCACTCATTTCTCTCATCTTTGCGTCTAACCAAAAAGAGAATTAAAATTAAAAATGAAATGATGATCAAACAGCTCAAAGTTTGACCTAGGTAAGCCTCACCCTGACCGATATAGGGGCCAAACATTATGAGATAATCAGGTTTTGAAGATTTGGTTAGAAGCCGACAACACTACACGAGACCAAGATGAACCTGCAAACCAGAAATATATGAACTGTGTCAAGAAATAGGATGACTACGCAACTGACAATTACACAACACGAGCGAGGCTCAAATGGTTGCACTTCTGTTTTACAATTATACTTTCTTTGTTGATTATCCTTTACCACCCAGCACTGCATACATCCAACAAGCCTAAGAAACTTTTCTCTTGGCTGAAAACCCGATACCCCCCGCGACAAAGCTGCATCGACAATTGTTTGAGAGGAATACAAACCCGCGTATTTGGCTTGTCATTAACAATGTTGGAATACTGATTACGTGAGAATTTGTGGCTCCAAAATCCTTGGAAGTCTGCTTTGCTTCCATCCAAAAACTATGGGCTGGTTTGGTATTGCTGTGCTTTGAAAAAAGCTGCTGTGAGAATAAGCGGTTGTGCTGTGAGAATAAGCGGCTGTGAAATAAATGAGCAGAGTGTTTGGTAAACTTTTTTGTAAAAGTGCTTTTGGAAAAAAAACAGTCTAATAGTGGGTCTTTTCATTAAAGAAGCACTGTAGCTCCGTGTGCTTTGAAAAAAAACCAGTTTTCCAAAGCTGCAAATAGCAGCTTCAGCTTTTTCCTTTGATTTCAACTTATTCTCACAGCAGCTTCCAAAATAAGCCCTTTTTTTTTAGTTTACCAAACACCTAAAACCCTCACAGCTTTTTTTCATGGGTGCTTTTTTTAAGCACCTCACTCCCAAACTAGGTCTATATTTGGTGGGCTTCCTTCTGTTTTGAATCCTCCTCGCTTGAATTAGGTACTACGGTGGTACTTTGTTAATTGTTGTGTACCTGTCTACTTTCCCGAACCTTCCCAGAAGTCGCAATTGCAAGAATTAGCTCAAGTTGTTTTTGCTACTGCTCATCCTGCATATAACAATTGGTGAAACATAAAAAATCGAACCTCACAATAAATAAATAATTTTTTGCTAACTAAGAGAATTCATGACAGATTTGAAAAGAAAATAAGTGTCCAATCACAAACAGATGGAAACACTCGGAAAGTCCAATAACCTTGGCATTTTAGCTTGTAAAAGGGACAATAACCAAACTAATCAACGATCTTTTTCTACCAGCTGAATCACTAATGGAAGAACTCCATGGAAGTTAATATATTATTCCCAAAATCATTGAAAACAGTCAATTCTCAATGGAAGTCCATGGAAGTTTATCCACCACCCGGGAATGGAGAACACTCACCTGCATAGCCAGCAAAACCTTTTGAATTTCTCCAAGCTCTTTTTCCAAAATGTCTTCTTGTGCTGCTAATACTCGAGTGGCCTCATAATTCTTTTGAGCCAAAGCTGTAGTCCTCAGAAACAACAAAATAGTTAGATGATGTACAAGATAATCAACTTGCAATATTATCTGATACAAGTTTATTGATACTTTAATCAAACAACATTGAACTATTTCTGCATTTCAACATCGTAAATTGATCCATTTTTCAGGGTTAGCAGTAAAAGTCCATAAGTCCTAACCATTTAAACCTGTCACATGCTCATAGCCAAAGAGCCTTGAGTATTTTGTTTTACCAACTTTACCCATGTTGCTTACCACTGATATCATTACCCACATTATCTTGCATCTGCCAGTAGGTGTCCAAAGTTCTTTAAACATGTTCTAATCAGCTGCAAAAGGGTCTACAGTTCGACAAAATTATTTCAGGAGCTACAATAGATTCAACAGAACCAAATTCCAGGAAGTTCATTGGGTTCTGACTTTGAGTCTTTGAGTGTCTAGGGTCTACAGTTCGACAAAATTATTTCAGGAGCTACAATAGATTCAACAGAACCAAATTCCAAGAAGTTCATTGGGTTCTAACTTTGAGTCTTTGAGTGTCTTTGTTTGCATGGATATGAACTTTGACATTCCACAATGATTAATGGTCATGCAGGGAAAGGAGAACAATGCGTCCTTTTTTTTTGCTGTGGGGAGAGAGTAGCTGAAAAGCCTGAAAATAGGATTTGGTCACCAGGCAAACATACTGATGACGATGAAATGGGTTGCCTCTTTTGCCTGTACAGATCACCACAGAACTTGGGAATTCTGAATAGCTATTATTATTTTACAGATCTATTTTATTATTCTTCATGAAAAGAATCCTAGCATATTCAGCAGTTGGGCCAAGCATATACCCATACACGACAATCTTCCTTTATTTATAACCGTTACTCATACTTGATTGGGAACAACATGTTAAGCATCCACTAGTATCCAGTTACCATACAGATATTACATCCAATGTTATCTGCCCTAAAAATTCCAATGGACCAAAATTGAGTAAATAACATATACCAGATGCCATATGTTCAAAGAGATATTAGCTTCTTTTTTCCCTTTTTTCTTTGGGGGGATAGGAGAGAGTCTTGAACTCAGGAGCACTTTTGTGCAGAGACTCTAAGAGGTGCTTCATGAGATAGTTTCACATGTTTACAAGTAAGCACATAAAGTCCTCACCTTGTTCAGCACTCTAAAATGATACACTAATTTGACCACTAAAATCGTACAGCATTAGCTTTTACGTAGTATCTGTTTCCATATTTTAAGGGATCTGATTTAAGGGATATACAAGTACTGCAAAACTATAACCTGCAAAGAAAATAAACATGTACCTTAAATCATAGGCACATGCCAATATTATCACACACACACACACACACACACTAATTGCAATGCGCCAAACTTAGCCTGATGCAAGTTAGAATCATGGACTTCACCCTTATTTTGAGCTTAATGATGACAAAAGCAAACAAAGGCGTTAAACAAACAGGGAATGATGGGTTTCCACAAGTAACTTCAAATTTTGACTTAAATCATAACCAGTTAATCAATGAAAGTGGTGGCGATTATTAGACAGAATAAAACCAACAAGGGTGTGGTGATGTAATACACAAAATTTAGACACCATTCGAACAATGAGTTTAATCCTACTAAGCTATAACGAACATATTCTAGCCATGTTACCTTCCAATAATAAAAATAACCAATCTCAATCTTTTTAAGATACTTCACATTTATGGGCGTTGTATTGAACATTTAGGTGGAGAAAACTCAATCAATTGGACACAGACAGATGAAAGATCCAAAAGTGAGCATATACTATAATTTCCACAATTTGACAAATAACAAAATGAGTTATTCAAAAACCAACAGCACGAAGCTCCCAATCAAATAGTCACTAACTTAACCATATATTGTGTATCACATATTCTTGTTCCCTCAGAGGTAAGTCTATATAGGGAACTTAAAAAGTAACAGATAACTCAATCGATACAACTATTAAATGTGCAATCAAGTTATATTGCATCGCATTGGAGCTATGACATTTTGGGTTCATATCAAGTACTAGTCAAGAGTAACTCAATATGTTTAGTTTAAAATGTAAGATAACCAGAAACTAAACCAATATACACACTAATCATGTCATTTTCGAGTTACTACATATTACTTATGAACAGAAACTCAAACAAAACTATAACCTCATATCATTTTTGCCTTTGTACTAAACTATAATCAACCTTAACCCACTACACTATAATCAAACATTCTTATCAATTTATACATTTCCCGTGAGAAAGGAAAATTTCTAAAGCAAGCAATTTACATGCCAACTAGAAAGGCAAATTCTCGTAAAAAAATTCAAGTATTTTCATTTTTATATCAAACAATGGTTCTCCGAAAAGGTTGTGTACATTAAAATAAACAGAAAACCATACGCCAAACTTATTAATCATCCAAAATTTGACATCACCTCAGCAATGGGCTCCTTCAAAGCCTTACGGGTAACCCGAAACCGTATCCCCAATTTCTCAAGCTGCCTTGACAAGACACACATGATTGTGGCTGAGCTCCTCAAATCCTCCTCCAATTTCTCAATTCTCTCAAACAAATTCACCTCCATCCCGCCCTTCACCGACTCCCTACACATCCACCTCCACTGCAGCCGCTGAATCCACGCCCCAATCCCAACAACCATTACCAACGCCAGGGCCCAAGACGCTAGACCCCAGTTTCCCATTGCCACAAAAGACGTCTTATTTAAGCTCATAGCCGCGCAATTCATAGCGAAACCCATCGAAACAACCGCCGACGACGCAATGCACAAAAACTAATCGATAGGATATAGTCCAAATTGAAAGCACCACTGACAGCGTCGTTTGGTTGCAGAGCGGCATTGGAATTGTAAACTCGGAGACGAAATTGATGGCAGCAATTTTAGGGATTCACAGGATTGTGGTTTGAGCTTGGGAAATGCCGGCGAGTGGTGATTAGGAGAGAGAATGGCGGGGGTTTGGGGAGAGAGGCGGCGTTATGATCCTATATTTCGATCACAATTAGTGATGTAATAGCAGACTAAATATGAGTATTAAGGAGTGATTAGTTATTGCCAGCTGGCAATTTGTTTTAGTGAAAACTTATATAAGCTCATGCTTTGGATGTAAAAGGGAGATCAGATTTTACAACAAAGAAATTAAATGAAAAAATATTTGGAGCTCTGCTCCTTCATCTCTCCTTCCCTCTTCTTCCATAGTTTTCTTGTGCTACTTGCAGGTTGATTAAAGGAATTGAGAATTGGGTCTTATCAATGGTATCATCCTTCTCGAATCCTAGTTTCCCTCATGTGCACGCCCACTCAACCCGCCTTCTTGCCATGGATGTGCACCTCTCAGCTGCAATCGACTCCTTTGAAGCTTCGATGCGTGTTGCGATCCGTGATGCGATCCGCGAAGCTATGGATTCTGCACTCACTGCCATTCACAAGGTTATGAATCTTGTCCTCGCAGAAATCTGCAGTGACCTTGCTCAGTTACACCATGACTTGGCTCTCAGCGTTGAGGGAGATTCTAATCCAGCCTCAATATGTTCCGAGGAAGCTGAATCGATCGAGGTCGGTCACTAAAAACCTCACAACGGAGACGGCAACCCACTACGAATTTCGTCGACAATCCACACCAATTCCATTCCGTCATTGCTCTCATCTTCACCGATGTTGCGAGCACTGGCAAATTCGGCCGTCAAGCCACACTCGAACAACTCCGCTGCATCTACAGTATTGCTTCCGAATCGAAGACGATGATCTCTGCTCCATAGCTACTCCATAAGCACTCGTTCTCCAATACTACGAAAACTGGACCTGAGGTAGTTCTTAATTTGAGTATCATTTCAACAACTCCGGAGGCTAAATTCCCTTCTCTTTTAACTGATTACTATGGTGCATACCTGAAAGATAAATTTGGATGGGTTAATTGGTATCTTGTGGGTAAATTTGCGAAGAAAAATTTCTATGCATTGCATCTGTTTAATGATATGTCTAAGAGGCATAATAGGGATAATATGTCATTGAGTAGCAACCTGTAAGCCTTGGATATTGTTGTACTCGTTTGTCGTTATTTACCTAAAGATATTGCAGCTAGTTTCACTGAGGAGAATGGGACATTGGGTCATATCAATGTTATCAAGCAGTTCATCTGCTTATCACTGTTACACATTTGTGCGTTCACAGTCATGGCCATTTCCCAGCATGACTATTTTATTTTCACCAGCTTGTTATCAAAATTGAATCAGGAATTGTGTAATAGGGTTGGTGTACACCTTGATGTTGTTTTCTTTCCTAATTGCATAGCAAATGACCAGATTTTCCAGCAACCAGGTTGGTGTCACACTTTAACTGATCCTTGTGACAATATATCTTATCAAAGGGTTGTCTTCAATAAGAGGAACAAGTTTAATCAAAGGAATTATACAATATGGTTGATGGAGAGGCCCTGCATGTTGGAAATGTGCCCTAAAGCCAATCATATGATGATACTTTACGGACATTTCACATGTTAAACTAATCTAGTTTAAATATAAAGGGCAAAGATTATTGTTTGAGCCGTCTCATATAAATGTTATATGCTTAAACGATAAGTCCAAGGAATATGTGATTGGGAGAATGCAATCTAAAGAAGTTAGATTCATGAGACCATTCTTTCGTAGACACATCCTAAACGTTCCTGATCATAGGATTGCCAATTGGGCATTGACAGTCCGTTAAGATCAGTACGTGTTGTGTCTTCTCTCAGGGAGAGAGTGACTAGTCTCGAGTCATTGGTGTGTGTGTGACATCAAGACAAGTACGTAGGTGCTCAATAGAGAATGAGTTCACTGAAACGTCGATCAACGAAGAGTTCTCATATTCATGTCACATGAGAACTCATGGTTGGGATAATGCAAAGTAGTTCTTTGACCTGAGGCATCACAGCTGTCTTGTGGTTAAGTCTTTGATCTTTGATTATGTCAAAGTCACCCCATCCGCGGGTGTTCACGGCATCGTTGGGGTTAAGCCACTTAGCTATGGAGGCAAGTGAATGTGCAACAAGGGATCTCTAACCTTCAAACCGTTTGAGGGAGAATACTCTATGATATGATTTGGAATCTCTGGCCAGAGTATGAATGAGATTTAGGAAGTCGTTCCAAATCACATTCAAGGTAATCATATAAGCACACGAATCACATTGGATAGTAGACATGAATAAATAAACTATCAAACCAAACAATGTGGTCAAGAGTATTGTATTAGAGAAAGACCGTATTGCATTTGTAATCCTAAACTGAATAGGTTCTCCACCTCTTCTGATTAGCTTGGGTAACCATGATATGCTGCTAGGTGTCACTCATGATTTGTGGAAGCCCTAAACGTGTATAATCACTAAAGGGAGAATTGAAAGTAAGTTTCAATTCACAATCGATGTGAAATGGTTTTAATCGCCCACTGCCTCGCTAAAAGGAACCTAATGGATCGTACACCGTGTAAGGTGAAGATTGAAGAAACAATGGAGATGAGTAAGAATAATTAAATGGTTTAATTATTATTTATGGCAAGGATTAATTAATATGTTAATTAATCAAACGAATAAAGTTCGTTAAAAGACCACGGGTTAGTTTTGGGCCTTCAAGGCCCAATGGGCTTCGAACGTCAAGCCCATTGACTTAAGTTGTATGACAACTTAATTCACAAAGGCCCAAAAGCCCAATAAAACCCTTATGGCCGGCCATGTTAGAGAGAATGGCCTTTTGGTTCTTTTAGGTCACTTTATTTGAAGTGACTATATAAAGGACTTTTATAGCCTAAATTCAAAAAGGGTTTTTTTGGAGAAAATTGGTGAGAACTTGTCTCTCCTTTTCTCTCTAGGAGGCCGGCCCCCCTTGGAGGGTGCATCTAGCAATCCCACTACTCCAAGGTCACTCATTTCTTCTCCAATCTCTCCTTGGTGTGGAGACTTAGAGGTTCTCAATTTTGGGAACTTGGAGAAACCTTTTCATCCATCCAAATCCATAGATTTTAGATGCAAGGAATGAAGACCCTCTCTTTGGGTGATTAGCCTTTGCTTATGCAAAGAGGAATCTACAAAGGTAAATTTCTACTCACTTTGATTTTGAGTTGAGTTTTGGTTCACCAATCTACTAGGCTTTGAATTTCATGGTTAATGTTTTATTTTTGAATGCATGCAAGTATGATTCCGCCTTTTAATTGTTAAATGCATGCTATAGATGTTATTCAAATGAACATGTTTTCACAAAATCATATTCAAGTGGTATCAGAGCCTAGGTCTAGTAGTTGGTGAATCCTTTTGGGTTTTGTAGTTCATAGTTTGTGATTTAAAAGTTGTAATATGTTACAAGCTTTATTCTTGTTTCTTTGAATGTAAATTTTGTTAGAAAATTTGCCATCTCAAATGTTGTAAATGTAGTTCATATGAGCATGAATATTGGAGCTAAAATTTGGTGCCATGATTTTGGGAATTTTCGGCCAAATCCAAAGGGTGGATTTTTGGGTTCTTGTTTGACTTGTTAAAAGTGTTTTCAATTGACTTTTGGAACCCCTATGTACCCTAGTTTGGTTATATGTTATTTCCCTTAAGTTTGAATGGTTTTGGGATGTTTTTGGATGAAAAATGTTCATGGAAATTTTTTGGGTTTTTCATGAATGTTCTTCATTGTTCTTGACATTTTTGCCAAGAACAAAAAGTTTTGTGTTTTGATTCAAAGTTTTGATTTATTTCATAAAGTTTATGTTTTATGTTTTTCAAATGATTTAATGTGTTAGATATTTGTTTAAATGGTGATAGAAATAATGGTGGGTGTGAAAGGATTAATTCCCTTTCACACACACCACTTGTGCACTTGCATGCTTTATGTCAAAACTCACAAATCAACACACACATCACTCACATCTCCTCTCCAAAACCGGCCACCCTACATGTAGGGTACTTTTGGGGCTTTTATGCAATTACATAAAGTTTTGATACTTTTGTGTATTTGCACTTTGGCCCAAAAGTTTACGTTTTTACGTTTAGGTCCAAAAACGCTAAAGGACAAATTGTTTTGCTCCTTTAATGAAGTTTTTGCATTATTTAAATTTTGGGTTCTAGTGTAATTACATGAAGTAGTGGACTTTTGTGTTCTTACAAAGTGACCCCAAAAGTTTATGTTTTGCAATATTGCCCAAAAGGTTGTGGTTAATTGCATTTTGGCCCAAATTAGGTTGAGAACAAAATTGTTTTGTCTCTTTAAATGAGAATTGGATTTTCATTTTCATTTAGCTCCATTTAAATCAATTTTATGGATACAAAAACCAAATGAAAATGTTGCATTCAATTTAATTAGTTAAAGTGTTAATTAATTAAAGGGTGATTATGAACCTAAGCCTACGAATATAATTGAGCTATGTGAAAGGCCGTTTCAAATTTGTTTGAACCATGGGAATGTGTAGATTAGATTTTGGTTGTAATTTGATTTGATCAAATGTTGTAAAAGGGCATAAGCCCTTCTTTACTTTAAGGTAATTTGTTTTATGCAAATGTTGTAATGAGCATAAGCTCACCTTTACTTTGAAGTACTTCTTTCTTGCTTTATTTGATATGCATGAAAATGAAGTAGTTGGGTCCAACGCCCCTAAGACAACACGCCTTAATGTGATTAAACGCGTAACTAAAATCAATCACCATCCCTAGACCGAGATTCAACACAAGGCTCGTGTTGAATCTAAACAAAGGTTCATAGTCA